TGTTTTCATTCTTTTTTTGAATTTCTTTTTCTGTTCTGTTTAATAAAATAAGACTTTTTTTTAAAAAAGGTAATAGTCCTAATTATTATTTTTAATCATGGAATCAGAACTCCCTGCTCCCATTAACACGAATGTACCTTTTCCTGCTGTTATATTCAATTGAATGATTGCTCAGCTAATTTTAACTCACTTTATTTTGACAGGTTGTTTAAAAAACTTGAAAGAGCTCAATGTAAGTTTTAACCGTTTGAAGACTGTCCCCCCAGAACTGGGAAAGTGTGAGAATCTTGAAAAACTTGATTTGTCTGGAAATTTAGAGCTAATGGAGCTTCCGTTTGAAGTAAGACTTTGTGCTCACTTTTGATGTGCTGATCAATTCAAGATATGGGATGTTTAAAGATAAACTAATTCCCAATTAACAAAGACTATGATAAGTAGTACACCATTACAGATGTATCCCATGGCTCAACAGTGCTTTAATTACCTAATTTTTAGAAGTCATGTAACTAAAGAACCTCAGTGAATTAGATATGAATTTATTTACCTAGGACCAGATTATGAATCTGTATGTGCTTGTGGACAGAAGAGCAAAATTATGCCAAAAGATACTTTGTTTAAGGCTAATTGTATGAGTGGCTTTCTGCCATGAAAAACAAAATTATGCAGACAGCTGGAACCATGCTATGCCATGAAGACTTGGCAGATTAAAAGTATTTGGCTCAGTTCCAAGACTGCCATTAGCAGTAAAACATGGCTTGGCAAAAGTTCGGGGCATTTCCAGACAACCAACATTCCTGTCACCTAAGACTCCTGACCCGACAAAGAAGAAGTTGGGCTTGAGGAGATAAAATTATTTAGGGTTATTGATTTCTTTATAAGTCCACAGTTCTTGCAGGGAGCTGGCAGCCAATTCTAACTTGCCTTTGCAGGCCAATAGAGGAGCATAGAAAGGCTCAGCCAACTGGTGCTCATCTGTTGGTCAGCAAATAGTGTCTTGGCCAGCCTGCTTAATTAAAACAAAAACAAAAAAACTTTCCCCTCCACTGTATAGAAAACAGGAAAGAAAAAAGACTTTCAAGTGCCTTTCATAATAGCAGCCTAGTCAGCTTTGTCTCCTGCCCTGCATTTGGTTGGCTATCTGGAGCTGGGAATTGGGCGCTGCTTAGTTCAAAGCTCGATAGCAAAACACTGTGGCTTTCATGAAACTCATTGAGTATAGTCACTGCCTGAAACCTGAATTCCCTGCATGTTGTGACTACAACATCAAAGAGCCAAGATCTAGGCCAACAGAAATGACCCAGTGTTGATGCTGTTTGATTGCTGATAGTAGGGGTCAACTCAGTCCTGAAAGGATATGCGTCCCCATTTGGAAGTGCCTACAGTGACATACACGTGTGGTGCAGGTAAAATCTTTTACAGATTGTTTAGATGCTTTAGAAAAAAACAGCAATATGTAATTCTGTAAAAAGGATTAGGAATAATATGTATTCAATCCAACTGTATGCTACCAAGCCCATGGGATACATATGTCTTGTATACCTGGCAGAGCGTAAAGTGAAATCATCATCATTATAATAGTATTTTTATACTGCTTCCTCTGGAAGATGAACACAGGCATGCTTTGCAGCTAGCAAAAAAAAAGAAAGACGTCCTTACTGAAGTACAATTAAGCCACAAAACTTTATCTGACATTTTCAGTCATAACTGTCATGTGGCAATGCAAGGAGGGTGGGAAGGGTGTATAAGCTTTTCTCCTCCTGCAGGAGCTGGCTTGGCTGCCTGTATTGCTTCTGTTCCTACAATGTTTGAACTAACTCCTGTGTTCAGAATATGGCTAAAAGCAGGTCAAATCTTTCATGATCGTAGTAAATCTAGAATCAACAAGAACCTCCAAAAAGAATTCCACTTGCTACAGCCTCTAGTCTCAAAATGTGATCATCTTCAAGTATCTAATAGTGAGAAAAGTTCTGTTGCATTAGATTACTTTTATTTCATTAGTAGCTCCCAGGGTCTTAGTCAGAAGTCTACTAATTTTTGCTCGAGATGTTAAGCACTGAACAGTGTTATTGATTTAAAGATTGCATAATTTACTTAATGTGCTGTGATGTAATTGGAATATTAGGCCCAAGGCACAATTTGCATATTTGGTCCGGTAAAACATTATATAATCCTCAGGATAATAGCATCTTTCACATGGAGAGTGTTTAAAATTTTATAGTAGCCTTAAGCTTTGTATATGTATGTATGTATTTTGTTTCTTTGTTTAGAAGCCTCCTTTTTCATAAAGATGGCTAGTAATAAGAAGTAAAATGACCTAGTAAGAACTGAAAGCTTACAACTTTTTAAATCACATCATATAAAAATGCAGCAAGCTCATCTCTGCTTTAAAGCAAATATATTTCTGTTATGATCAGTTTTTCTGTGTGTTTTGGGATCTCTTAGTCAAGGATGTGTCGTTTTTGAATACTATTCATGAAATACAGAAAAATTGGAAGGGGACCACAGAGAATGTACTTGCGGATACATATTCCCCATTTCTAAAGAGTGGGACATTTTAGTGTCACTTATGAAAATGCCCTTTGGGTTTTCTCCGATTATTTGGGGCACTAAAAGTTGTTAGACAGTGGGAAGGCAAATTGCCAGTTGTATGGAAATTACATTCTCCAGCAAATTGATGCACAGTATTTTATCACTGGAAAAAAAATGCAATTTTTAATTTGGCAGGAATGTCTCTTGCAGTAACTGATGACATTTGGACAATGTGTGTATGCTTGTGCAAATACCAGAAACACCTGTCAGCTAGTGCCTATGAAAATGGGACCATATGTGTTAATAGATTGTGACATACACACAAATCAAATGGAATGTTGCTTTTAAACATAGAATGCAGCTAACTCTTTTCTTTTTCTGACCAAAAATGAGATGGAAATGGGAATACTTTTTCTTAGATGAATTGTAGGCAAACTGGAGAAGGACTGCATTGAGGATAAAGGCTCAAAGTCCCACAGCTAAGAGCTCAGTTCATATCAGATCTCTTTTAAGTTACCAAACAAAACAGATTTACCAACGTGCTGCTTATTAAAGATAATTGCTACTTTGTTTCCTTGTATATGTTTTAAAGGCTGTGTGCTACCCTATTGCACTATAGAGGTGCAACTATTCTCATAATGGCTGATCCAGCCTGTCATGATCCCCAGGTAAATATTTTACCTCTTAATGCCGAGGCTTTTAATTAGCAATGTATAAAGCTGTTCAAATTCAGCCAACTTCACCAGCACCTCATTCTCCTTTGTGGAGCCTGGCTATACTTTTCTTTTTGCTTCTCTTTGGTCTTTTTAAATTTAAAAACAAAAGAAAAATCAGTGTTGACAGGGTGGAGGTCAGAGCCCCGTGACAAATAGGGAGGTGACAGCAGAACACAAAAACAGAAATGGGGTTCCCAGAGAAACCCTTTTCTTGTAGGAATGTTATAGATTTCCATCTCCATGTAGCAGAGTAACTTTCTCATCTGGTTCACATGACCTGGCTGATTGGGGTGGGTAATTTAATTAGAGCAGCCCCAAGGCTTTGTGTCGGACATTTAATAATGTACTCTGAGTTCTTGCCTATCATATGTTACCCTTCTTGTTTCATCATCTTTGATTGCAATTATTTGTACTTGTAATGCTGATCAGTGACTGCAATAATAACAAATTGCAATGTGGACCGGCTAAGTGTGCCCTACGAATGTTGCCATAAAATTCTTATAAATAAGAAGGGGCACAATCCAAGCAAAGATAAGCCATGCAATTCATATTGTCATTTATTTAAGATGACAATATGTCATCTACATAACACTGGATTTAGGTTGCTTCCAGACCAATGGCTCCTAACACCGCCAATCAAAAGGCTTATGCAGCTTCCCTATATTTCCTTCCTTAATGGACTTTTTGTCAAAGAGGAAAAAAAATCCAGAACTGTTGGGAAAATACGGGACCTGGCGGGGGGGGGGGGGGGGGG